CGAGCAGGGAGCCCGATGCGGGACTCGATCCAGGGACTCCAGGATCATGACCTGAGCCGAAGGCAGTCGCTTAACCAACTGAGCCACCCAGGCGCCCCTCAAGCTTCTTAAGTATAAGACATTTAGAAAGCACAGATATCTGAGCGAGCACCATGAAGATTTCTAGGAACTGGACATCAGAAATTGTTTTTAGTTGCTGTCTTATCTAGTTACAGGAAAAGGGACAGAATGACCTTCTTGCAGCTAAAGAGGTATAAGAGGTGATTGCTGGACTCGATGCAGAGGTAGACATTTGCTCTCCCTTCCTCTCAGTAGGCTGGAACATCACTTGGGTTCATTTTTGGAATAGTAATTGTTTTAGCATGCTTACAACTTCTCTCATTCTAATCAGCCACCATTTTTTCATCTTGTCCCTATTCACTTGAAGTGACAGCGTTGTATATCAACGGTCAACAAATATTTATCAAGCCCCTGATCAATGCTGGGCACCGTGCATTGTGAAATAGGAAAACAAAAACAGGGATCATACACTCTTCCTGTCTTTATTTGATTTTATGATGCAGTTGGGAGAAAATAAGCAATTGGAAAGCTAAATAAAAAGAAATAAGCAATAGCCATTCAGAATAGCAGTGTAAGAAATTTCACAAGATAGTAATGATTAATGATCAAGTAATTGGCAAAGATAAATCCAAAGTGAGTTCCGGAGAAGAAAAGTTACTTGTGTCTAAAGGACAATAGGAAGAAGAGAGTCTGGACTCCCATTCTTTCAGCCATGCATTCTATTTGGTCATCCACCAAATTTATAGAGAGAGATAGATTGCTCATTGTGTGCCAAGAAAAAGTTCCTGCCTTCGTGAACTTTATATTCTACCGAAGAGCAGATAAGTAGATGATCAGCTGGTCAGTTAATAAATAAACACAGTAATATACGGTGTGTCTGATGATGGTGAGTGTCCTGAAGAAAAGCCAGGCAAAGAGCCGGAGAATGGAGGGGGGACACTGTTCTAGGGGGGTTGTTCAGGGAAAGGCAGGCCCTAAGGTCACCTCGGAGGGTGACATCAGAGTGGAGTCCTGAAAGAAAGTGAGGAAGTGAGCCAGGTGCTGTCTGGGAAGAGTGTTTCAGAGAGAGGGAACATCAAATGCAGAGATCCTTGGCATAGGCAGGGGCCGGCTTGCAGGAGGCCTGGGTGGCCAGAGCGGAGAGGGGAAAGGAGAGGGGCAGCAGACCAAGCCAGAGGCCAGACTCTTAGGGCTTCCTCACCTAAGGGAGGTGTTTAGACTTTATTCTGAGTGAGGTGGGAAGCTACTGGAGAATTCTGAACAGAGGGAACTCTTTAAAAAGAGCTGCTGGATGGAGACAAGGCCATGGGAGGAAGGAGGCGGCTGCAGCAGCCCAGAGAAGACATGACTGTGACCAGGCCCAGAGTGGAGCTGTGGGGGAGCCGAGGAGGGGATGCTTCCGGATATGGTGGCTGGAATGTCCCCATCTCTGCCCCTGCACATGCATGGTGTATGCAGGGACATTTCTGTGGTGTGGCTCTGGGGAAACAGGTGTGCTCACATGTTGCTGGTGGTATTGCCAACAGGTACAACCCTTTCTTAGGGGAATTTGGCAATATCTAACAGAACTATGTATGCATTTATCTTCTGATCCAGCGGTCCTTGTAGCAGTTTACCTGGAAGATGCACCTCCAACAACATAAAGATACATATGCACGAGGTTATTTGTTGCAGCATCATTTGTAAAAAATAAAAAGAACAACCTAAATACCCTCACACAGAAGAGTGGTTGGACCACCTATGGTATATCTGAATACTAGGCAGTTACAAAAAAACAATGAGCACTATCTCCATGAAATTACACAGAGAGATTTCCAGAATATGTTATCAAGCAAAAAAAGCAAAGTGGGAAAGAATGTCTAGAGCATGCTACCTTTTATATAGAAAGAAGAGGGTATAAGAATGCACATGTGTCTTCTCACTTCGGCAAGAAGAAATACAGGAAGGATGAATCCGGAAACTAATATTTGATTGTTCATCCACAAGAGATGGGTGCAAGACAGGGTAGAAAGGATGGGGGCGGGTGGGAGTGGGAGGGAAGTGACATTTCTCTGAACATTGCTTTTTGTCTAATTGTGACGTTTAGAACTGCATTTGTGCTTCCCATGTTTAAAGGATAAATAAACAGATAAATAAAACAAGGATGTAGGTAAAACCCCAAGTGGAATACAAACAGTAACAAATAAACCTAACTGCAGGACAAATGAGTAACATAACCACACTGAGGAGATGAGGAAGCAAGTTATTTAAGTAACTTTTGAAAACAGTATTTTGATACTATACTGTAAATCTGAAGACAAAAAGAGCTGTAAACAAATTTTTTATCACAAGGATGTGGGCTATCAATTCTGAAGCCATTTTATGCTTATTCCAGGACTGAACAAATAGATAAACGTATTGTTGATTTAAAGAAAAAAAAACAACCCTCGTACGTAGTAGTTCTTCAAAAAACATTTGTTCAGCTAAATTGAACTTTTTCCCCAAATAAGGACTCAAGGGATTCCTGAACTCCCTATAAGTCAGGGCTAAAAATTTTTGTGCACGTACATTCAGTGGAGACAGGTTCCATAACTCAGTTCCAAAAGGGTCTGTGACCCACCAACGGCTGCAGTGTGTCCATCCTTACTCTCTTCATGTTCCCTGGGAGATAGATGTTATCGTTCCCATTGTAGAGATGAGAAAGCTGAGGCTCCGCTGTAAATGGTGGGTCAGGGTGATCCAGGAAGACTTAAAGGAGAGGCATTTGGGGAATGACTGACTGAATCAGGTGGGGAAGACCCCACCTATCTTATGCAGAAGGGAGCCAAGTACCGTGAGGCAGTATTGTAGCAAACATATCAAGAATTCTGTAGGAGAGCACCTCTTGGCAACAGCCGAATCCAGTGCAGAATGGAAGATTTTGTGCCACTTCCAAGTCCGAGTGGTTTTTTTACTTTTATGGTAAAAGTATGCACGAAGAGCAAATCAGAAAGATCACGATGTGTCAGGTTAGTCATGTGGGGCCTTCCCTGCATTCTAATCAAAAGCCCCCTGCTTTTCCCCTTTACTTCTGGAACCCAACCATTTATCAGTGCTCCTACTCTCAGAGTCATTAGATTAGACACTCTACAGATTCTGTCTGCTGAGCAAGAACACATCATGATCCTTCTAAAGTGCAGGTTCTCGAAGAGAAATGGGAACCAGACTGAGGGGATCTCAGTGTGTCTTAGACTATACTGCGTTTTTGACAAGTCGCAGGGTACGTGACTGTTTCTGTCAGAACACTTGGCTGTTTGCGTTCTGTGTGTAAATGACATAATTTGGCTGTTACATCCCATTGGTAACTAATATGGTATTATTACATTGGTACTAATGGGGTTTTAACATTGCCATTCTCTGAGGAATATTCTGGAGATTCCCTTAGAGGAGCAGACAACTTAAGTCCTATTACAAGCCAGGTAATTAAATTCCCCCTGCTTGCTTCTTAATACTGCTTCAATTGGATTCAAGATTGTAGTCCTGGCCGACGTGATTTCCCTTCAAAGGTCTAGCCAAGAGAACCCAGTCACCCCCTCACTGAGAGGATAGCCAGAAAACAGTGGGCAGTTCTATTTTGTTTCCTTAAAAAGCAATTTGTTTGAGATTTCCCTGATATGTCCAAGTTTTTGATGAATCACGCCATTACGGAGGAACATGGACAAGACGCCCAGGATGGAGACACGCAGATCCTGAGAAAGGCTGGCAAGCCGGATGTGATTACAGCTGCTAGTTCAGTCTGACCCCCGGGGCCAGCACTAACAGCATGCCCCCTGGATCTCTTACCACCTCTGCAGCTCCACGTGTGGGGTTGTGAGCCACGTCCGAGTTCGGACTAACAGGCGGGTTCCTGCCCTCTCTGTACTTTGCCTCTGGTAGGCCCCACAAACCTGGTGTTGAGGAGTGAGTGCGTGATTGCAACCAGAAGGCCTGGGCCGGCCTCCTGGTTCTGGTTCTTGTCACCTCTATAACCTAAGGCTGCTCATCACTCATCACTTCCTTCAGCTGGAAAATGGGCGTGCTGGTGACTCGTCCTTAGTGGCTGTTTTGAGAACCAGTGGATTTATTTCTATGGAAGCATTTCTTAGCGGCAATCACAGCACATGCGTTATTTTTTTAGGATTGTACTCTAACAAAACCCAAGAAGACAAGGTTTTCACGCCCATTATCGTCCCGCAACGTCCATGCACGTTTGGGAGGCAAGCCGCAGTCAAGAACCAGCAGCTGGCAGGGTATCTGGCCGTGGACTGTGATCACTTGCCTTTTCCCGTCCTCTCTCTTTCCTAAGGATTCAAAACATTGTGCCCTGGAAGAGCCAGACAGTATTCGAACAGCCAAAGCAATCATTGTATCTCAGACCTTATGAAACTCCTCCAGTGGTATCTAATGGCTGGCCTGCCAGACCCCCGCTTTCCGCTCCTGGCCCTGGGTGACCAGGTGCCAGGGGTCACTTCGTCACTTTGCAGATGGGAGCAGAGAGGCAAAGGCAGGGGAAGGAACCTGCTTCCTAGTCTCCCTCGGAATCGGGAATAGAGCTGGGTGTAGACCTCTTTCCCCTTAAGTCTCTGACTCAGTGCTTTCTTATGCCTCCTATCCGTTCTGGTGACTTCTCCAGCATCCCTCCACATGCTTTCTCCTTCGGCCTGAAGAAGAGAGACAGGGGGGCTTACATGCACACTGGCTGGAGGACACAGACATTCAACTAAGCTTGGAGCTGTGCTTGTGACTTTGTTTCTTCTTCGCCTTGATCACTTTTCCCTGTCTTTCCAGGACTACAGCATGAAGGAATTTTCCGGGTGTCGGGATCCCAGGTGGAAGTGAATGACATCAAAAACGCCTTTGAGAGAGGTAAGGAAACAGGCTTGAAGATCAGACCAAATATGTGCCAGCCTCCTGGGATATTGGCTGCACCCATTCCCACTTCCCCCAAGAGGACCCAGAGGTTAGCAAGCGACCTCTTCAGCCCAATACCTGCTTCCCTGTAGACAGTCCTCCCCAAGTCCTCCTCAGCCCCATTCACCCTGCCTCTCTCCTGCGAATGATCTGCCGAAACCCAAGAAGTTAACTATGATATCTGGGCAGTTTATGACTTCATCCAGAACCCTTGGTGGCAGTTAATATCAAGGCTAATGCGCCTGTTCATCGTAGCCCATTTATTAGCTTGTGGGCTATTAAGGTAATGGGCAAGCTTTGGCAATTTCTGTCACTGTAATGGATATATATAGTTTCAATTTGAGGTTGGTCCTATCATTAAATCTAATTACATCTGATATGAAATTTTCCATAGGGAGCCCCAGCGTGATTGTTCTCCTGTAAGTAGGTGTCCTTTGTTGCGAGCCAGGAACAGTGAGAGCCAGTCAGGAGGGAGAGCCTCCTTGGCCTCATTTTCCTCCCCCAGAGGCTCAGTCCCAGCCTGGCTTCATGATTCTTGTGAGAGGGCCAGTTGCAGTGTCCCGTCCCGGCCCATAGGGAATGTCCCTGAGCTGGTCTGACAGAAGCGAATTTATCCTATTGGACCCTTGCGCCCTACTCATGGTCGCCATGCTAGGCGGAGAGCTGATGGACTCTGATGAGGACTCGGACAGGTCACCTGTTCCCCACCATTCCTGCTTCGTCCCGTGTGTTTTTACCTTTCTCACTCTCTCTTTCCTTCTTTGGGGGGCTGCTTATCCTCAGGAGAGGACCCCCTGGCTGGGGACCAGAATGACCATGACATGGACTCCATTGCTGGCGTCCTGAAGCTTTACTTCCGGGGGCTGGAACATCCTCTCTTCCCCAAGGACATCTTCCATGACCTGATGGCCTGCGTCAGTAAGTACATCCTGGCCTCAGACTGGCTTCTGGGCAAGAGCACCTTGTCGTGACAGATAAGAAATGTCCACGGGGCCTTTTTTTCCCATAAACTTTTCAATAATGTTTTTCTTTTTCCTTTTCTTCAGTGAAGTTTTTCTTCCTCGTCCTCAGTCCTTCATCCCTGGTGGGGAGGGAAGAAAGATGACTTTTCAGTAAGAGTCTAGGACCACAAGTCAGAACTCCTGGGTTTTTCTTTCTGATTGGCCTTAAACTCCTTGCTTTGCTGAGCTTTGTTTTCTTCAGTAAAATATATTTCTATTCATATATGACACAGTCCTTTTCAGTTATTGGAAGCTCATACATTAGTGCCTGTGCTTTTTATGCTATAAAGGGGAAATATTTTCTGCTTGTTGCTTATTTTTATAATTTAGGTTAGAATGAATCTTTGTTTTATAAGATTGATTGATTTTAAGTGGGGGGGGGCAGAGGGAGAGGGAGAGACAGGATCTTAAGCAGGCTCCACACCCAGCATGGAGCCCACTGCGGGGCTCGATCCCATGACCCTGAGATCAAGATCTGAGCCAAAATCAAGAGTCAGATACTGAACCAGCTGAGCCAGCCAGGTGCCCCTGCTTGTTGCTTTAAACATGGTGTGGTGGGCGCCTGGGTGGCTCAGTTGGTTAAGCGACTGCCTTCGGCTCAGGTCATGATCCTGGAGTCCCGGGATCGAGTCCCGCATCGGGCTCCCTGCTCGGCAGGGAGCCTGCTTCTCCCTCTGACCCTCCTCCCTCTCGTGCTCTCTGTCTCTCATTCTCTCTCTCGCAAATAAATAAAATCTTAAAAAAAAATGAAAAAAAAATAAACATGGTGTGGCTTACCTCCTAGATGTGTTAGTATGTGTTCTTTTAGGAATAAAAGCCCTCTGAACACTTAAATGTAGCAATATGATGTTTTCTTAGAAAGAGATATAGTCTCTACTTTATCCTTATAGGTTCCTGCCTCTTACTCTCAAATTTGGGACTTGAAAAGCTATTCTTACCCATTTAGTTTAGCTTATTATCCAGAAACATCCTCTCTTTTGTTTTCCATGGAAAAAAATGCATGGAAATTTAGATTAATACCAGGTCATCCTGGAAGTGGACTCCACTAGAATGATGGCTCCAGAGGCTGGAGAAGGCAGTGCCTTTGAAATGGGAGAAGAGTCTTCTTCCTGGATGCACCAGGGTGTTCATGGCCCCCAAGTCTCCAGTTGGACTCATTGTATGCCCTGAACATTGTCCCTCTCTGCTCCAGGGCATTCAGTAAGCTCTCTTATTTTATTTGTTGACCCACTCTTTGTGGAAGCCTAGTGGAAATCAGTTCTGTGCCTATTAAATTTAGGCCCTCCCTCCTGTCTTCAAGTCTTGTTCTAGGACTGAGCTTAGGTAGATGTCTTCAGTGGCTGGGGCTACCAAGACAGTTCAAGATACCTTGGCTGCCCAGTTCTCCCCTTGAGATGTGCTCCTAACCCACTGCTTTCCACTTCTTTCTCACAGAAAGGCACTCATAGAAAATGACAGTATCCACAGGGCACACTAGTGGGGAGGCTGGCCATGATGGAGGTCTGTGATTAGTCTGTCCACAGCACAAGAGACAGGAAACCTCGCGTCTTCTCCCCAGATACCACGACTTATGCAGGGATCTACCATCTCTTGCCTCTGGCCACATTCTGCCCAACCCCGCTGCAGATAGGAGAGGGGGAAAGATAAGCCAGACCTGTCCAGAGGATGAGGAGATGCATGTGTAGAGCGAGCAGGACAGGAGCTACACAGCCTGTCTCCCTCCCCACACATGGATCCTCCAAGGCTGGATGTCGAGCCTGCAGTCCTAGCAGGTTTCGGGACCGTTCCTTGTCTGCGGTTGTTTTAATAAGAGAGCGGTAGGTGCTCGGAGAACATCCCCAACCCCTTCTGAGCCCGAGGAGCATATGCCTTCAGTCGGGGGTCAGGAAGTGTCTGCAGCCCAGCAGGTGCCCTGCGGCAGCAGTCCTGCCCCGAGGAGCCACAGGGACGGAGCCCCTTACACAGCACACCAGTATCTGTGCAGCCCCTGCTGGTAGTCAGGGCCCTCACACCATTACTCCTTGGGATCTCAGTTGCGATGGACGGTAACGCATGGCTTTCTTCTTTCAGCAATGGACAACCTGCAGGAGAGAGCTCTGCACATCCGGAAAGTTCTCCTGGTCCTGCCCAAAACCACTCTGATTATCATGAGATACCTCTTTGCCTTCCTCAATCAGTGAGTAGACTTCCCAGTGAGCAGTGGATCAGGCCTGGGCTTCGGCCCCTGGAAGCTTTATCCGTAGAGCCGTGTCAGTTCATCGAGCCCTGTGAAATCTGTGGAGCGGCGACAGTGTGCAGGGGCACAGTTGTAGGCTGTGAGAATACATTGCGAAACGAGACAAAAGCCCTGATACTGTTTAACTCACATTCCAGGCTGGGAGACAGACAGATAACAGATATGTCAGGCGGGAATAAGTGCTTAGGTGAAGACTAAGGAAGTGTAAGTTAAGAGCCAGAGTGCGGGGGGCCCGAATGGGGGCAGGGGTGAAAGAGGGAGAGCTGCTAGAGAGGGGTGGTCAGCAAAGGACTCTCTGAGGAGACGCAGCGACCTAAATGGAGTGACAGAAGGAGCTACAAGCGATGTTCACGGCCATCAAGCCCCGAGAGTCATGGTAATAATGGGTTTGGATTTGGGAAGCCACTGGAAGCTTTGAAGCAGAAGAGTGGTAAGATCTGATCTATGTGTATTCTTGGAAGCCTGCCGACAGCTTTGAGGAGAAGTTATCGGGGACTATGAAGAGAAGCAGGGACACCACGCAGAGGTGACTGTGAGGTCTCAGCCACGGGCACTGGGGGCTTAGGGTGGTGGGGGGTGGGTCATGAGGGAGGGCGGTGCAGTGGGGTCGGGTTTGGGGTCCATTTAGAGCATAGCATTGACAGGACGTCCTGATGGGGAGGATGTAGAGTATGAGGAAAGAGAGAAATTTGAAATGTTTGGCATGAGCAACAGGGAACCAGTGACTCCGTAATGGAGTTGGGGAAGACGAGGTGTAGAGGACAGAATCAAGACAAGGCACCAACTTGGCCATGTTAATGTGAGGTGCCCGTTAGGCCTCCAAGGAGAGATTCTAAGTGGGCAGTGGGACATAGGAATCTGACACTCGGGAGAAACCCAGGGTAGAGATACGAGTCTGGAGTCACCATGTACTGACTGATGTTTTCGCTGGTCACCCAGGGAGTGAGGGTAGCTAGAAGAGAGGTCTGAGGGCCAGAGGGGCCCTGGGCTTGGATGGGGCATGGCTTCCTGTCAAAGCAGTGTGTCCTTGCCGAGGGCGGGCTTTAGGTCCCCACGGGGCAGCGAGGCAACAAGCAAGGACATGTGGTGCTTGCCCTGTGGGCCCCTCTGTCTTCATGTTGCTTCCTCTGACACAGCTCCCTCAACAACCTAAAGCAAAGGCTATAAATGGGCAATGGGAGGGCCAGATAAGGCGCATAGATGTATTTCTTTTCAGTCTGCTGTGTCTTGAAAACATTGAAACATTTAAATATTAGGGGATTTTACTTAAAAATAGCTAGATTTCTAGCTTCTCTTGAAAACACTGTTGGATCTGGAAGTAATGGACGCACATCCTGCAAGGAGGCAGTTCTGTGTGGAGTAAGGGCTTCTGCCAGGTGAGGCAGGCCCCCCCACACTCCCTATACCGAGGCTGAATTCGGTTGCCATTTGTCATCACTCTTGCTTCATGGGTTTTCCTCTCGTGGAGAAACATTTGTCTAGATCCATGAATCTATCAAAAGAGAAAACAAAAATTAGACCAAGGAGCGAGGGTCTTTTAGCACAAATTTCTTCGTCTTCCTGGTCAGTTTGGTCTTTGCTTCAAAGGAAAACAAACTTGGTGGCCATCTCGTGAGCTTCGGCTTGCTTACAAGTTCACGGTCAGCCTAGCTCTCTAGGCATCTAGGTTAGCAGCTCTGCCGGAGACCTTGCCGGGGCACCCACGCCATCCTTCAGCCTTCCTGCCGGCCGTGCAGAGCAACGGAGGGTCCTGGCTCTGCAGCCTGCCTCCTCCACACGGCTGTGTCTGCACCTTCCATTAGCCGAGCCCTGACTCGGCACCACGACTGCCCGAGTTCAGAACCCCTCGTGACTCACAGAGCGTGTTCACATGCTGTGCATTTTAGGCTGACGGAAACGGAAACTCTGTACTGACTCTTGAGCTGGTAACAGCCCCTTTCTAGCATCTACTGCATTAACTACCTATTGCTGTGTAACAAATTGCCCGAGAACCTAGCAACTTAAAACAAAAAGCATTAATTCTTATGGCACAGTTTCTGTGGGTCAGGAGTCCCCAGTGTAGGTGCAGTGTTGGGGGGGGGCCTCTGGCTCTAGCTCTCTTGAGGTTGCAGTGAGGGTGTTGGGGGCAGGGCCATAGTCTTCTCCTAATGGCTCCACTAGGGGAGGATCCGCTTTCGAAGCTCACCTGTGTGGTGTTGGCAGGATTCAGTTCCTCGCAGGTTGTTGGACTGAGGACCTTCCTCGCTGGCTAACTGTTGGCCAGAGGCCTTCATCAGTTCTTCACCATGTGGGCCTCACCATAGAGCTATTCACAACATGGCAACTGGCTCCCTCCAAGCACGTGAGTAAGAGAACACCCAAGACAGAAAGCTCAGTCGTTGGTAACCTAATCTCAGAAGTGACATCCCGTGCCTTCTGCCGTTTTCCATTCACTAGAAATGAGTCACTAAATCTAGCCCACACTCAAAGGGAGAAAATTACACCAGGGTGTGAAAGCCAGTAGGCAGGGACCATGGGGTTCATTTTAGGGGCTGCTTACCACAGCCTGTGTGCTACGCAGCGACTTTTTGTCCCCCAGCAAAGTGTTGGTAGCTCCCGCTCACTGCAGCTGACTCTGCTCTTTGTCTTTTGAAACCTGCTTTCTTCAGATGTCAAACAATATAGTATAATAAGCTCTTGCTAGTCAAGTGAGGTCCACAGACCATCATCTGGGAGATGGTTAGAAATACGGAATCTCAGCCCCTCCCCTTTCAAAGACCTGTGAATCCGAGTCTGTATTTTAACAAGGTCCCCTGGTCAGTCACATGCTCATGAAAGTCCGAGAAGCACTGCTCTAGGTCCTCAAACGCTGCTCCGCCATCTGGATGAGAGAGTGAACCGGTGGTGCTTTTCTCCCGATTAAGGTGCTCCGATGTCCCCGGAAAAGCTGACTCTTCCTCGAAATCTCACCCATCTCCAGGTGCCTCCTCGTTTGGGAAGATTGTGTCTGGGCGGTTCTTCTGACTTTCACAAGGAGCGTTTTGGCTTCTACACACAGATGGACAAGGAGACCTGTGGTTGGGTTGTCTTGGAGAGCCACAGCTGCTCACGTGCTTATTTGTTCCCTTATTTAACACATATTTATTAAGCATCTACTGTGGGCCAGGCCCTGCTCTAGGTGCTGGCCATCTAAGAAGTCACCAAACAGCCCAGGTGGCCCATGGAGTCCCTTTGGAGTTTATGTTCTGTTGGAAGAAGACCAAACTAACGAGGACGCATATCCCGTGTCAGAGGAAAAGTGCTCTAGAGAAAAATAAAGCAGGTCAGGGCACCGGGGAGTGCCAGGGGTCAGGGCGAGAGTTTGCTCTTTAAGATACAGTGGTCTGCAGACACTTCACTGAGCAGGGAACCGTGGGCTGTGAGGTAGGAGGAGGACCTAGAGGGAATGGCGTCCCAGAAGCCACACAGAGACGTGTTTGGAAGAGGGAGTGATACCAGAGGTAAAGGGGGTGACAGGCCAGCCGAGAAAAGGACTCAGGATTGCGTTAGCCACAGGGAGAGCACTGGTGACCCTGAGGAGTGTTGTCCTGATGGAGTGGAAGGGGCCAGACCCTGATGGCGTCCGTTCAGGAGAGAAGGGGAGCCGCTGACGGCTAAACAACGTGTGGTAGGTCCATACGGGGGGGAGGGGGTCGTGTTCAGCCGTGAAAACGAATGAGGTGCGGAGGCATGCTACAGCGTGGATGCACCTGGAAAACATCCTGCTGGAGGAAAGAAGCCAGTCACAGAAGACCACGTGGTGTAGGAGCCCATTTATTTGCAGTGTCTGGAACAGGCTCCTGAAGGAGCCATGTAGCCAGGAGCTGGGGGGAGGGGAGGATGGCGGGGGTGGGGGGTGTGACTGCTAACGGACGTGGTTTCCTTTCGGGTGACGAAAATGTCCTGGAACTAGACGGTGGTGATGGTTGCACAACATTGTGAATATGCTAAATGGCGCTGAATTGTACACTTCAAAATGGTGAAAATGGTCAGTTTTATGGTATGTAGATTTTACCACAGTAAAGAGTGGGAGGGGGCAAGAGAGAAGGTATATGCATCTGTTCGGGCTGCCGTAGCAGAGTACCACACAGTAGGTGACTTCAACAACAGAAATTCATTTTCTTGTGGTTCGGGAGTCTAGACGTCCAAGATGAAGGTGCCGGCAGGGTCAGTTTCTGATGAGGAGTCTCTTTTTGGCTTGTAGATGGCCGTCTTCCCTCTGCATCCTCCTGTGGCTTTCCTTTGTGCACACGCAGGGAGAGCTCTGGGGTCTCTTCCTCTTCCTACAAGGACAGTAGTCCTATCGGATTCAGGCCTCACCCTCATCCGTAGGATCTCATTTAACCTTAATTACCTCCTTAAAGGTCCTTTCTCCAAATACAGTCACATGGGAGGGGGGTGGGTAGGGCGTCAACATAGGAATTTGGGGAGAGGGGACCCAATTCAGTCCATAACAGAAGGGCTGGAGATGAATCGGAGAATCAGAAACATCAGGGATAGACAACGCGCAAATAGTTTTATTGTGAAGAGGAGGAGAGAAATGGGACAGTAATATGGTACAGATATGGGGTTAAGAGGGAATTCTTTTCCAGGGGGCCAGTATTACTGCATGTTTGTATGCTGGTGGGGACCACGACCCACTGGAGAGGCAACACTAAAGACCCAAGGGCAATTGCTGGACGGATATCCTTGCTGGAGAGAGAGGATGGAGTTCACTGCCAGGCAAGGAAGGCAGAACATGGGGGCACAGAGGCAAGTCCCTTATTAGATGCAGGGAGCACGAGAAAGCCAACCCATGTTGTTATAGGCGAGAGAGTGACAAGAGGAGTGATGGGATGCCTTTGAAGAACCATCAGAAAAAATCAGCCAGAATAACGTTAGACTTCTTATCTCTTAGAGAGCCTTTTGGGGAAGTCGGGGGAAGGCTGTTAAATCATGGATTTAGAGAGGGAAATTGTAGTGTCTCCCATTGGAAAAGCTTTTAAAGGCCTGATGGATTCTCAACCCCATGATTTGCCTGGGGCCATGGTGAAGAATACAATTTCTCTTCCTCCCTTCCAAACCTAAAATCGACCTGGTGTATTAATATCTTACCCATAGTCTGTTGGTTGGTGCCAAATCAAACCCCTGGGGCCTGTGAAGCTGAAGGTTTTTTTTTTTTTTTTT